TTAGTTGTCTGAAATGCTTTTACAACTTGGTTATATTGACATGAAGATGTAGGAACGTAGCTAGTCCGAAGACCATAGTATGCATAATAACTTCCTGAGTCGGACCGCGTACGTGGTACATTCCAAGACGTATAGACGATATCGTCATTGAGCCGCTTCGCTGAGTAGGCCGACAAAGTCTGGATTCTCAAACTGGATGATAAAGTAACTTGAAGCTATAGATCCCGAGTTGCCGCAATTAATGCGACAAACTCCCGATATTTATGTTAGTCTTGCCGCTTTAAGTGAAATATCTATCTTCTAATCCAAATGGTTTTTAACCTTTGCCTAATCTTTACTAAAAAAACTTTGACAAGCAAGGCTAGGTAAAATTTATTGCTATTGTGATGTCTTGTGAGAACACAATTATCTGTGCTTTTCCACTCACGGCAACCTAGGTGCTTAACTTCATATTCAAGATCTTCTCATACTTTGGAAGATTACTTACTGTATTGCAACTTTTAGATCTCGAGCATTCTAACATCTAGCGATTTTGTATTCTGCCATATTTCAGTTATTCTCTTTGCTTACTTTTATATATCATAATATACTATTTCAAATCATTTTGTATACATTCTATAATTTAGCTCTGGAACGTTCCGGAAGAAGCTCCATTTTGCTCGGATTCTGATTTATTGGATCCTGCCCGCGTTGCTGATGCCAGCCGTCCTCAAACTGTTTTACGTTGTCCACGAGCATGCCAGGTGCAATGCATGGATTCGCGATTATTGGGCAATCATTGTCTTATTGCCGCTGGTACAACTAGTGGCCATGTCCTGGTATTTCATTTTTCTTGTTCATTTATTTTTCACCATCTGTCTCCGAAATAACAATTCCTTTTCTCCCTAAAATGAATTACATGTTATTGGCCTAATTGACCTTTACTCAATGACCCCCATCTCAATTTTAAATAATACCTATCTAAATTAAATGGACAATTTTTCCTCATCTGGCAATAATGTACCAAAGCTGCTTAAAATCACTATATATTTCAGTACTTCATAATGTCACCTTTATTTGTTTTGCTTTAATTATCATTTTATGCCTCAATTCAATGTCGCTAATTATTTTTCTATCAACTTGTGAGTTTTCACGCTTTAATGTGGAGATATATTTTATTATTAATTTTGCCTCTTGTTCTGTTGCTTTTCAAACTCATTGCACTTCTTTCCTTCATTAACTCACTTTTTACTATGCCTCTCCTCAGCTTTGGCAGCTTAACGATGGCTCCTTGCTTCTTGACCTTATTGTGCACTCAAATTGGATCACTACCGTCCGATTTGTACCTCCAGTACCACTGGCTAACAAGGCTATCGACTCCACTGATGACTTGCGCGACTTGACTCTACTAACTACTTCTGCCGATGGTGTAGTCAAGCGCTGGCATTTCGGAGCCAATAGTCTGCCCTCATCTGTGTCTCAAGGCGGGTTAGTCCCGTCAGTCCCACCACCCACCAAAGTTTTACATCCTTTAAAATCGCCCACGAAGCAAGTCTTCGAGATTTCGGAGCCTAGTGTGCTTTTTGGACTAGCTGGTTCTATAGGTTCCAATAGAGGAACAGCCCTACAGGGCCTTTGGACAGATGTTTTTACAGCCTGGTTTGCCCCTGATGGTGGCCAGCAGCTTATCGTTGCCGGCCAGCTCCGGAATTCAGCTGATCTCCAAGTAGGCTTTTGAACATATACGTATTTATTAAAATTGTGGGAAACCCTGTTCTCATTCAACTTCACTGTACATAGTTGACTTGATAATAGTTTCGAAAATTACTCATTCTGTTTTATTAATATTTATATGCTCTTATTTCTATAAAAATACAATTGTCTACATAAGTATACATTAAAAAAACCTTGTTATTAAAAAATTCTGAGTTAACGGATTTCTTTTAATTGGTTTTCTACGAAATTTTTTAACGTATTTTTTTGTTTTTTTATTAACTTTTCCTGACTTAGATTAAGATGGTATTACTATAAAATGACAGGATATAGTAAAAAACTAAGCGCTTTAAAATATAGTGGAAGATCAGAATGCAACCGCAATTTTAAATGTATAATAATGTATTAATTAAGTTTCACATTTGCATTTCTTTCGAAGCATGGTCATATTTAAAGTGACTGATAAAAATTTTTCCAGAATTTTCTTCTATAGTAGTTTTAATTTCCTGCTCTTTACATTTGAAGATTTTTATTTAGGATCCAAGACCATGGTTCGGCGTAGGGAATTAATATGTTTATATGATCGAGAATTATGGTCAATGAGTGGTTATTCTAATAACCTCATCAACTAACTCAAGTTTCCAAAACGGAGGCAAACAACTTTCTCTAAAGCGAAAAGACATTGTGACCTAAATAAGGGGCATTTGTACTGCATACGTTTACGATGTACCAAATTCTGGATTCCATATATTTCAAATTTTATATCTCACTATGCTAACTTGCGACTACGAAGACGACTACTACTACTACCAACATGGTTTCAACTTCACTAGATCATATACTGCAAAACTATTTAATTTTTTTTATAGCTGACTTTTATTAGGGGATGTCTTATTTTAGGAGTTAATTTATTGACTAAGTAAATACATCTCATTAAATACATCTAGTTTTTTAAATTTCTCATGTGGTTGAATATAATCTCTTATCTATTTTTTTCTATACGTTCAATATGAGTTTAACTCCAATCTTAACAAGCCATGAACA